TAAGGAGTAGTTAAAGTTGCAGGCTCATATCAATAGTCTGAGTTTATGTTACCTTTCGAGAACGATGGTGTAAAAAAAAAAAAGTGTGCACATAACACACCTGTCTAAGATTAAAAATCCAGGAAATGCAGAATTAAAGTTGTGCTTGTATAAAAATGTTTCAACGAACAAACAAACAAAAAGTCAACCAAAATGTGTTGGCATTTCACTAGCGTAATATTCATATACTGCGAACGACTGAAGATTGGGATCAATAAATGCAACATTTTATAACGTCCATCTGGCATTGATCACCTTTCTTAGCAATGCTTAAACTGGTGCATCTGGATGATCAGCATATGTAATCCACTGCTCAGGGCATGTTATGTGTCCCTTTCATTTCAGTGCCTTATCCACAGAAGAAAGGAGTCTGCTACAGCTGCCAGCTAGGTGAATATAGCTCTGATTCAGGAAAGCACTGAAACGTGCAGTTTTAAGCATGAGTAGTCTCATTGACAGCAATGATTTAAGCATGTGCCTAAGTGTTTTTGGGAATTGGGGCCTTAGTCAAGAGTCTCATGCTTAAAAGTCTGCAGAGTGACTTCAATCATGCTTGCAGCCTTTCATTAAGGACAGCTGACTGGGAACAAAGATAGCCAGGTAGGACTCTCCTTCAATGATCAAACGAAAGAAAAAAAAAAAAGTGTAAATCTGTGCAAGGTAGATGGTAATTTATATAGCCATTTAAATAATCTGTGCTTGCCTACAGATTAGCAACGCAACAGTATGTTCTTTATCGCTGTTCTCGTATCTTACATCTCATTTTTTTCATATAAAAACAAAAGGTTGGTAAAATGGGTCTAAAAAGTCTACAATAAAAGTGTTTCAAGCTGAAAAGCTCTGTGTTAAGCAAGGTTAGTAAAAGCTTTGTAATTTCTTTGTTATGATGCACTTTAGGTATTAGTGGGGTTCTACTTAGTTGCCAGAGACAGTGACTCTTCCAGAGAACAGTGGCTTTTTCAGTACTTTTCAGCTCTTCTACTCTGGAAGTTTCTTAAGGAGATGGTGTCAGTGTAAATGTAGAGATGCAGTTGCAGTTACAGTTATGTGCATGCACTAGCCAGTTTGTTTACTGGGTCACCATGACTGAGCGATTGCTAAAGCAGGGCTGCAATCTGAGCTCCTCTGGGAACTGGATATAAAAGGAAATCATCCTTTCCCAGTTCCCACCTCCCCTGGATTTCCAGCTCTCTTCTCTTCACTTCAGCCAACATGTTGTGCTGACAACTACAGCAAGGTTCAAAACTAAAAACCCCAGTATAGCCTTTCAAGAGACAAAAAAAAAAATAGAAGGGTGTGGGGGGGAAGAGGATAACTGGGAACAAGTTTACTCCGCATAATTTTACTCTTCTCGCTTTGGTTCTGGCTTTTTCCTGGAAACAATATCCACTATGCAACAGCATTAAACCCTAGCAGAGTCACAAAGTATTTATCAAAAGTAAATATATATAATTTCTACTGCAAACAGCCTAGCTCAATATTTTTAGGGCAACAGAATAGCCTATTTTGTATACACCTATTGTATAGATTATTTGCAAAGAGATTTCAGTCTATTAATTGAAATTATATTTAGACATCAATATATGAATTGCAATTAGAATTTAAATACACATAACCCATATTTATTAACTATAATTCTCCATGTGTGGAGGCACTTGCAAGAATTAGCTATTAGACACAAGACTAGAGACATCTCACTGTTTCCCTCACATTCAGGCCCAGGCTCACCTGGTAACTAGTACATACACATCCCATACTTAGACAGCAGTTAATTCACAAAAAAACTGATCCTGGTGGAGAGAGGGTAGGGGTGAAACATACATTACATGAGTAACCTACCGCTGTAGACCCAGAGGATGTGGCTACAAAGACTTTGATCACCATTTTTGACCGTTATAGAAGAGAACCACCAGAACAATCCTGTTATCTACAAGTCACCAGAGCCCTGAGAGTGAGCCTGACATGCAGCAGCTCCCAGGGCAGCCAGAATCCCTTCCCAAATGAATCTCCCCTCCACATCAATCTAACTAGTTTTAGCCTCTCCCACCCACTGGTATCCTGGGCTTCCCAGGCTTCATTGGCTCTTTTAGGTATTTTGGGAGCCTAGAAGCTGGGACAGGATTGGTTGGCAAAAGTATCTAAAGCAGAGGGACTTGCACCTGCCCCTAGCCTTTTCACTTTAGAATTGACCGGGTGACAGTCCATAAAAGGCAAGGGAGAGCAGTGCACCAATCAGACAGGGCAAGGAAAATGCTGGTGGGGAGGGGAAAGAGTGTTGGAAGAGTTTGCAAAGCTGCAGGACAAAGTTTAAAGGGATGTCAGCATTTTCATAATAATCCCCTGTATTCAAGAGCTCACACCCACTCTCTGACTAAAATAAGGAGCTTCAGTTTGAAGCTTATATGCAGCGTAACAGCCACAATCTCTACCTTTAAAAACAAAACAATTTGGAAACAACAATTCTGAGATCAGCCTGAACTAAAGCCACAGTTCCAAACACTCTGAGGCATTGGGAAATTCAGATCAAGATCCAAATTTTATGGCTCTGTTTTCTCTTTGCAATATATGTTAGGTCATTGTGGATTAATTTTGGGGTGGGTGAGATACGGGGAGGCATGTGGATGACCCCATGCCTGAGACCCTAAAAAACAAGTATTTCTGTACTCTATGTGGCCAGTGAAGATCCCAATGCACTTTTTGCAAGAGTGGGGCTAGGTTTCCTTGTGAAAATATTCTCTTCTCTGAGTAGTACAGGGCACTGTTTTTCCATCTGACTGCTGCTTTCCCTCCCATAGACGGCTGCCTGTCAGTGGTGCTGTATTCACATATTGTTTAGCTTTTGGGGATCTTTCAGAATGAATGTTGTTTTCGGAATGTGCAATATTATAACATAATTTTTTAATTGTAAGGGCCAAATTCACCACTGGTGTAGTAGGCTCAACTCCATTGATTTCAATTGAATTGAGACTCTTAATGCCAGAGGTGAACTAGGACTTAAGAATTTAGGCCTCAGTTCTGCAAAACATTTTAAAATGTTTAACTTTAAGATTCAAGGCTTCAAGGCTCCAATCCTGCAAATTCTTAATACTGAACATAGTGCTAACTACGATTGACTCCAATAGAGTTATACACATAATAAGCAGTAACAATTGCATTTGGCAAATGACTTACTACCTATTTGGACCATTATATAATTTTAAAGCTACATTGCTCTGTTGTGTGAAAAATTATTTCCATCTTTATGTAAATGGTATTCTGAAGAAATGTATTGAAAAAGACAACAGAATGGACACTTTACAAAGTTCACTATTTCTCAATCTCTGTCACCTGCTTCTCCAATAAGGAGACAAGAGGCAGTCTTGCAAGCAGTGAAGACAGGTAGTAAAAAACGTTCGCTGACAATTTTTCTAAAAAAAAAAAGAAAAAGAAACTATGCCAAAAAAATGGTGCTTCATGCTAAAACTTGGCATACAAGCATTTACCCAGGAGAATTTTTGTACTAAATTCAACACAAATTACTTTAACAGAGAGCAAGTATATGAATTCAAAGAAACTTGGACCGTGTTTTTTGATAAATTTGGATAAAGAATACTTAGCTCAAATAATGCCAGACTTCCATTGCATTGGACCTTTCTGTTTTTTCCCTCCATCCTGCCCCACTCCCTCTCCTCTCTTTCCTTTTCTTGTCTATTTGTGTGTGTCTTTTTTTTTTGTTACCCCCCTACCCCCCGCCCACACCATGTTATGTCTTTGTAATATTGTCAAATTTCATATTGTCTGGTCGTGCAGCTCTGACAAGCTGTATAACGGAATAATTCTATTGGATATCCTGCAAAGTGTGCAATATCTGGTAACACATACAAGCTGTGAGTCATTTACCTTTTTGTGTTTTTATGGTTTCTTTATGAAAATTAATATAAAACAATCACAGAATAAAGATTTTAGCCAGTTTTGAACTATTATTTTTATTTATTGATTTGTATAGCATCTTTTACAGGTCTCAGAATGTTTCGCAGAATTACAAATGAAGGGTCTGATACTGTAATCATTTTCTACAAGTCATAGTGCCAACTATCATGAATAGTCGTGCCATTAATTATTATTAAACACACCAGTATTTGCAGGATGGGGCCATTAAGCCATTTAGTACCTTGCAGGACTGTGACAAAAATGATGAACAGTGCATTACTCCTTTTTATTACCCGGCTATCAAAGAGCAAGATCCTGTAGCCACTCTAGATCTGAAACTCCCATTGAACAGGATCTGGCCCAAATTTCTATTGATTTAAAATGCCATATGCAAGGTTTCTGTCGTGGAGCACGATTCTTTTTCTTCCCAGGTTTGAAGAAAATTGTTTCAATGTTTAGAATTATATGAGTAAAATATTTATTTTTCATTTGTTTTTTTATCCTAAAATGCTCAATTAATTTTATTTCAGCCCCTCCTTTCTCTGGAGCTTGAGAATAGGGCTGGGTGTGCTACCACCTCCCCTCTTTTGGGGGCTAACCTGTGAGGGAGGATTTTGCTGTGTGTGTTTCAAAAAGACGTTTCAGCTTCCGTCAGAGGCTCCCTACAGCCTAATAGCAGTAGCACTGCTGGGACTGGTGTATTTCTAAGGCATCAGACTTTGCGGGTTATTACATGGATCTGATGTAGCGAGCAACAGGAGCAATCCCTGCTGCTGTTCATTGTGAAATAGATCCGGGGTGGCCTCCCCCTTACAGCCCCTGTGGGTGGATGGATATTGGGGGCCCCGAAAACTGCTCTAGGGGGCAGCAAGTCAAACACAGCAGAGCGCATTTATTTCCGAAAATTAATAAAGTTAGAAGTCGGGGAGGGGGAGAGGAGAGAGCGGGGGAGGGATCGAGCAGAAATAGGAAGGGGAAGGTGGCCGGAGCGACAACTCCCCACCCCCTCAGAACACTGAACTACAAGCCCCAGGATGCACAGCGCCAGAGTGCCCCGTTCCCATAGCGACAAAGAAATGAAAACAGCTTCTCCCGCTAGGACAGCGGAGAGAGCCAGGTAACGAGGGGATGAGAGCCCCGCCCTGTCTGTGCGGGGGCAGTGCGGGGAGGGAAGGGTGGGGGTCCTACCTGTGCGGGGGGGGGGGAGGTACAGACGAGTTCCAGGGGCCCCTCAACCAGGTTGTCCTTCCAATCCTGGCAGCATCTCCATCCCTTGTAGGGCTTGTGGGTCCTAGGTTCTAACTCCATCCCATTCCTGCCCCAAGCCCATTTGTTCTTCAGACTGAGGTGGCCTGGTGATGCCCTGGGCCTTGGACTGGCTGATTGGGGGAACCACTGAACCATATAGTAACACTCTCCTCACCCAGGCTGTGCTTTCCTGTTCTTTCTTTGACTGTCTTCAAACCATAATTCATCTCTCCCCGCCCTCTGAGTTTTTGCTGCTTCTGGGTGCCTGGGGCCAAATGATGGTTGAAACAGAGTTTGTAAACCATGTTTGAATGTAGATCCTTGCCTAATACCTAGGCTAAAACATGATTTGTGATCCCTTATGGATCATTGCAGTGGCACAGAATCACTGGGGCAAAGTACTGCCCCTGGCTCTCCTCCCAGAATATCCCATGCATTAGGGTATCCCCCCTGTGGGGAGAGAGGAGAGGTCCCCGCACAAGGGTGAATTCCCCTGACAGGTTTCATATGATGTTAAGAGGAGGCAGGGTGAACCCCACACAGGAAGCAGTCCTTTGAAGAATCACAATTTAAAAATGGCACTGCTGAGAGAGTAACTTATTCTGTTGTGCTAGCTCCTAGTAGTTCCAAAAAGTAAAATGCAGTGAATAAGCAATTATACACTTTCTAATTTGCTGTCCCGATCTCATGTGAATAATAACTAGAAGTGTGTGAAATATTCAGAAACAAAAACCCTCAGGTATTTTCTATCTTGTTCTGAATATGAAAATTGCCCTATTTTCTGAAAAACTCACCAAAATTCACAGTTCATTTTGCTTGAAAACAAGAGGGGGAAAGGACACATTTTCAAATGCAATTGAGCCTCTTTAGATAAATCTGGAAATGGCTTAGTTTGATGTTATTTTCTGAATAAAACAGAGTTTATTATTTCTTTTTATCCTCACTATTTAATATGAACTCCCTGACTGATACACTAAATTGTGTCCCTCTTCTCAGACTCCTGAGAACATATGCCTATGCTGTGTTAAGCTCTTAAATAACAAAGATTATGTATAATATTCTCTCTCTAGAATCTAAGGGTTTGTCTGCACAGCACAGTTAGCCCTGAGTTATAACTCGAGCGTTATCCCTAACTCATCTCCCATCCACACACAAAAATCTCTAGCTGGAAGTAAATGGTGTTTTAAGCTTGAGCTAGCTGGCCTGTCCAGGCATGTCTACACTGCATCTGGGAGTGAGCCTTCTAGCTCGGGTCCACAGACTCATGCTTGCGGGGCGTGTGCTAGCACTATGGAAATAGGTGTGTAGACATTGCTTTGACATTGTGGCTCAGTCTTGTTGCCGGCACAGAATGCCCGAGGAAAGCAACAGTGGGGTTCGTTGCCCGGTGTGCGTCGCGCCAATGAACACACCAGGGTGGAGAAGTAACCAAAGTTTTATTTGAGATCTCAAAGCGGTGCAAGGAGACTTGGCACGTCTCAGATCAAGCACACCAACATAAGCAGTTTTTCTCTTTTTATACTTTACTTTAGCTAAGCTCTTCCCTTTCCCCCCCCTCCCCGCCCCCTTTCCCCCTCCCTTCTTCTATAGCAGTTACATTAAGCAGGTAAGTCATCTTGGCGGCTATAAGTCTAGCTCGTTAGTAACTTTTCTTTTGAACCGTTATCTTGTCCTTTTCCCTTTGATCTGTTATCTTGCCTTTCAGCCAGAAGCATGCAGGCCTTATTACTACCGCTTTATACCGGTTTGAGCGGTGTTGCAACTGATAACTGACTGTTACACATTCCATTCTCTGTTACTGGCTTGTTAGGTCGATTAAAGTTCAAACATGGAGGAGCTTTGGTTCATTTAGGCCTAGTGCAGGAAGGCTTCATCGACACTCGTGGTCTTCCACCCGCCCGAGTTACCTAAGGTTATGCCTAGTGACACCAACAGTCTGGAGCTCGAGCTCTCAAGTCCCCTGCCAGGCTTCAGAGGCCAAACTCCAGCCGAGCTACAGTGTCTACAAAGCTATTTTTAGAATGCTAGTGTGAGCCCTGCTACCATGAGTGTGTGGACCCAAGCTAGAAGGCTCACTCCCAGATACAGTATAGCCATGCCCTGGGGAGTTGAAGCTCCAGTGCTTCTAATGCTCCAACTAGTAATGTAGTAGGGTTACAACAGGTCCAGTTACAACTCAGCAACAGCTAATCCAGTCACTCTATGCTGCTAAACAAATCACTCTGTAACTCCAATGCTGAGTTGGACACAATGGTGAAATGAGGACAGACAAATCGATGGATTTTAAATAGCAGGCCACAACTTTTATTACATTTTAAATACAGGGGCGGGGTGCTACCTGCCCATCACACATATTCTCCTGTACCAGCAAATTAATTGTTTCCAGTGTGGGGGTTACAGCGCTCCTACCATATAACCCATAACTCAGGGTAGGCTCCTTCACTGATGGCCCCATCAAGTTCCCCTACCCCTTGAGGCTGACGGGTGGCATTTGTTTTGAAGTGTGTGGTCAGTCTTGAGCTAGGCTAGCTCCAGTGCATTAATCTGAGTACTAACTTGAACTAGGGTGGCCAGGTGCCTGGTTTTCGAACAGAAAGTCTGATTGAAAAGGGGACCTGACAGTGTCCGGTCAGGTCTACTGACTGGACACCCAAGTCCGGTTACTGTGGGTGGGGGAGGCGGGGAGGCGCAGAGTCATCATCCACACCAGCCCCTATTTAGCTGGGGCTGCATCCTACGTGCATTGGGCGGCTGCAGCTCCCAGCCCCGGCTGCACAGGCAAGTACCTCCCGAGGGGAAGAGCAGCGAGCGACGGAGGGAAGGGGAAAGAAGAGCAAATGGGGGTGGGGCCTCAGGGGGAAGGGGCAAGGAAGGAGCAGGACCTCAGGGGTAGAGGCGGTGCAGGGATGAAGCCTCAGGGGAAGGGGTGGGGCAGGGAACGGTCTTCAGGGGGAAGGTGCGGGGCAGGGGTGAGGAAGGGGAGGTTCCGGCACTCCTGCTGGAGTGTCCATTTTTTAAATATTACAAAGTTGGCAACTCTAACTTGAACTAATTTTTGCAGTGAAGATGAGCCCTAAATTATTGCCTTATTTCAGCCCACACAATTGTCTGTTCCTATTAGACTTAAGGAGAAAATATACTTTTGAACAGGCAAATAAATATTATGTTTTTTCATGTTTATGTGTATAAACTGACAAACATTCCACTCCTGATAGGTCATGGAACCCATTTACGATGTCCTCTACTAGCAACACAATGATGGCCCTAGATGACTGTTTCCTCCGTATTATAGTGCCAGAAGATAGTAAGTCAGAAAGCTACACAAGAAGCAGAGGCAGTAATGAATCTCCTAGGACCAGTAAGAGCACCAGAAGCAGCAGTAGTAGCAGAATTAATGATTATAGTAGGTGCAGTAGAGAATGTGAAAGTGAAAGTTCTCATGTTAACTATTCTGATGATTTTCTCACTGACTATTCTGAATCAGCTGGCAATAGCAATTATTTAGAACTGTCAGGAACCAAAGAGAAGAAACTACAGAAGAAGAAAAATAGGAAAAATGGTCAGCCAAAAGGTAAAAAGAAAATTGTTCTTGTTTCCCCACTAATAAATTAGATTTTTGACAATAGCCAAATAATATACATATGAAGATTGGTACTATCCCCACTTCTTGATAGTTTTTGTCTTAATATGTCACATAAAATAAAAATAAGTTTTTGCTTTAGGTCTATTTCAGTCTCATTTGTGAGCCAATATAATATTGAATTAGGCGTATTATACAAAATATATTCCTTCTGTGTAAACACTAACAATAAAGAAAATATCCCCCATCAAACCCACATTTTTACTTTCATGTTTAGAAATGGATTTCCTTAATTCTCACCATTCAAGTGCACAAAGTGACTGTAAAACTCAGGTGCCAAGTCCCACCCCTGTCCAAGACCCTTGCAGGGTCCCAAAAACTTGTCCAGCCCGAGCCTGAACATCTACATTGCAATTTTATAGCCCCGCAGACCTAACCCTGCAATCCTGAGTCAGCTGACATGGGTCAGCCATGGGTCTTTTATTGCAATGTAGACATACCCTTTGGGCCTTCTTCCATGCAACCCCATACAACTGGAATTCCCAACTCCCTCATCCATCATGTCTCTACCCCCTTCTCCTTCAAGCCCCTCCTTTTGAGATACTTCTTCCAAAAGGCCTGTAAAACCTAGTCTTTTCCTCAAAGAATTGTTAATAAGACAGGCTGGAGAAAATAAATAAAACTAGACAACTCAATAGTCAAAAATCATGGAATTAACAAGACACCAGCTAACTTCACTGTGTAATCACTTGTTTGCATAATCCCATCCCCAACCTTCATCTGTAACATGATCCAGTGTCTGGAAGTTAAAGCTAGACAAATTCAGGCTGGAAATAAGGTGTATTTTTTAACAGTGAGGGTAATTAATCATTGGAACAATTTACCAAGGATTGTGGTGGATTTTCCATCACTGGTAATTTTAAAATCAAGACCAGATATTTTTTTTAAAGCTATGCTCTAGGAATTATTTTGGGGGAAGTTCTGTGGCCTGTTATACAGGAGGTCAGACTAGAAGATCACAATGGTCCCTTCTGGCCTTGGAATCTATGAATCTGTGAATCTATGATGTTTTCTACTTAGAGCCTGCTCTTGTAAATAGTTCATATCCAGAACTCCCATTGAGTTCAATGGGGGGAGGGATAGCTCAGTGATTTGAGCATTGGCCTGCTAAACTCAGGATTGTGAATTCAATCCTTGAGGGGACCATTGAGGGATCTGGGGCAAAAATCTGTCTGGGGATTGGTCCTGCTTTGAGCAGGGGGTTGGACTAGATGACCTCTTGAGGTCCCTTCCAACCCTGATATTCTTGGAAGAAAAAAACAGGACCTGGCTCTTAGATTGCCAGCTCTTCAAGGCAGGGACCCTGAATGCATATTTATCTTGAAAATGGCTAGGAGATTTTGGGTGCTATATAAATTATAATACTAATTCTCTAGCAATGCACTTCCTGGAATGCCTTAGAGCTGCTATGAAATTGAATTTATGCATAAAAGCAAGGAAAACAGTCAGACTTACAGTCCCAACCCTTTAAATTTTCAGTTATACTTCAGAAAGGGACATTGATGCTTAATAGTGGTACCCTTAGAATTTCAGGCTGTCAAGAATATTTATAAAATATGGTATATATAATGGAAAACTTTATAAATATTCTAAATGCCTGATAATTTAAGCAACACTACATTTGTTCTTATAAGCTATTTTTGATTTAGTTCAAATCAAAAGATGGTTTGAAAGTGATACTGTTGTGTATAAAATTCCTAGGTGCAGATTTGTTAGGGTGTGTACTATTACCATCACTTTGTTTTCTGAATTTTTGCAGTAAGTTATTGTTTTCTTCCTTCTTCATCATGAATTGAATTTTCCTAATCTCGGGCCTTATCCAACTCCACTGAAGTCATTGTGAGTCTTTCCATAGGGAATTGTATCAGGCCCATACAACCCAATCCTCTGACAAAGCACACATTGACTTCAATGAATTACTGAGACAAACTTTGTTTCAGGTGGTGCTGGGGAGACCTTTCTGTAAGCACATCCTACCAGCCTCAAAGAAAGCCTAATTTGTCTCAGAGAAAGCGGTTACTGGAATATTAGCACTAGGGCTATCTAGAGTGAAGATGGTTCCTGGGGGAAGATAGTGATCCATAGAATGAGGAAGTGAGGGAACCTTTGGACCTCATATGGACCTGGCTTTAGTTGTGGCCAAATACTGCCAGGAAAAATCCATGCTATAGATGAATCAGCACAAAATATTTGAACAGTGAAATTTTAGTACAGATTTTGGACACTGTGCCATACATACTGCCTTTAAGTAGCTTAGGATAACTAGATATGAGTAAAGATATGCACTGATTTTGCTTTCTGTACCATTAAATGATACGTAAGTCACTATTAGTTTGTTTTGGTCTGAATGCAGGAGGCAAGAAGTTGCCACCTAAGAAGATGCGATTTCAGAATATTTCATTTTTAAGTACTCAGAATAATATGATTTCCCAGAAAAAAGATGCTACGGCTCAACGTATATTATCTGCAAGACTTCACAAAATTAAAGAGCTGAAAAATGAACTGTCTGACCTCCAGCATAAACTAGAAGCATCAAACTTAGAAAACCAGCTTCTGAAACAGCTTCAGTATCGGCACTTGAAAGCAATAGGTAAATATGAAAATGCGGAGAATAACTTGCCTGATCTTATAGCAAAACATTATAGTGAGGTAAGATCTCTAAGGGGACTCCTTAGGAAGTCTCAGGAACAGGAACGAAATACATCCAGGAAGCTTAGAGAAGTTGAAGCAGAGCTGTTAAAGACTAAAGATGCCTTGCAAGTATTGCAGAAACTTTCAGAAGACATGAATCTTGCAGAGAGAGGGGAACTTACACATAGATTATCAATCCTTACAGAAAAAATGGAAGCCAATGATAAGAGAATACAGGTAATATGGAACATGTCCTTCTATTTTTAGAACTATAATAGGAAATATTTTTGTGAAAGAATAATGAAAGATTATTAATCAATGCATATAAAATGAATATTTATAGTGCAAGCTAACAATACAGAAATTCAGATCCATTTGTTTTAATCCAAAGCTTTCCAAAGTTTAGTGATATTATGAATGAATTACCCATAACTTTAATAAAATCTTGCAAAAATGTATCAGTGGATTAAATTTGGAAATAAAGATTAGTCAAACTGTTGCCCTATTACCTTTAAAAATATGACATACTACTGGAGAGCTGTCTCCAAGTCTCCCATTCACTCCTTAGTACAGGTGTAGTCAAACATATTGCAGCTGTTGACTAGTGAATTAAACATGAGTCGGGAATCCTAGTCTTAGCTCTACCACTGATTTGATATGTGACCTTGGGCAAAAGACTGAATTTATTCATCTGTTAAAAGGATGGACAGCATTTAAGGAGGGTGATGTGAGGCTTTATTAATGAATATATCTAAAGTACTTTGAAATTTTTGTATGAAATGTGCAGTATAAGTGCTAAAATTATTATTTATTTCAAGGGTTTTTTTGGCAGAGTTAATATTTAATTAATTTATATTGTGACTGCCATTGTGATATCTAAGGGTATTTGACCAAAACTAATAAAAACAACTGTTGCCAACATTTGAATAGACAGCACCCTTGTTAGGATGCAATATTCTTCCAGAAGGAAATGGAGGGGGAGAAGCACAAAGACATAATGGAGATTCAGTAAAATGAGAATTGGGAGAGTAGCCATTGGGAAGAATACAAGAACAATTGCCTCATAAATTCATAACACTATTTCCCCCTTATTTCTGGGTGTGGCGATCCCCTAAAACCTACCTCAGAGCTAACATGATCCCATCTGCTCACCTTTGATACCTCTCCCCCTCTGCACTACAGCAATCTGTCTCCAGTGGAGAAGGTTGTATATTGTTCTTTCTGAAGCTCATTAACACTGCTCTTGTAGGAAGCTGCTAGAGAGCTATGGAGGATGTTCCTTCCTTACCCCCAAGGGTTGGGCATACTGCCTTTGCAGTGTTCGTAGGAACTTAGGAGTTGAAACACCAAGTATCACAATGCCAACTTTTAGGCACCTAGAAAATCACAGAAAAAACACTGTGATTCACAAAGCCTGAATTTGGTGCCTAGGCTCCTATACAATGAATGGGAGAGATAGGCAATTTAGAAAGCCAACACACTAGGCAGGGAGCCATCTAAGCTAGCCAATAGGAGATGCTGATGAGAGGAGTGTTTGCTGCGCCCCAATCTCTCTCTGAGATAGGCACCTAAATCTGGGCTTCAGGGAGGTGCCTAGGTCTGTTTAGTGATCCACAAATGGGAACCAGGCACCTAATGTAAGGTGACCTAGCCCCTTCTTGAAGGAATGAGTTGTGCGCCTGCCTCACACCACACAAAATGGCCACCAGAGGAGTAGGAGGTGGTGGTGGTGCCCACCATGTAACTTTAGCTCTGGGTTAGAACACTCACCTTGTACTCTTAACTACTGAACCATGGGATATTCTGATATGGGGCTCCCTCAATCTCTCCTTTGAAGCTGTTCCACTGTGGATTAAATAATGAAAGAGTGAATGGACCTAGGGTCTCCCATATGGGTGCCCTAACACACACCACACACTGGAGCATTGGGTCAGAGAGAGAGAGAGTGAGTGAGAATGACTCTCAGTCACTGTTCCTTAGGGAACTGATTGGCAGGATCTCCTGGGAGGCTAATATGAGGGGGAAAGGAGTCCAATAGAGCTGGCTGTATTTTAAAGAAGCTTTATTGAGGGCACAGGAACAAACCATCCTGATGTGCAGAAAGAATGGCAAATATGGCAGGCAACCAGCTTGTCTTAACAGTGAAATTTCCGGTGAGCTTAAACTCAAAAAGGAAGCTTACAAGAAGTGGAAATTTGGACAGACGACTAGGGAGGAGTATAAAAATATTGCTAAAGCATGCAGGGGTGTAACCAGGAAGGTCAAGGCATGATTAGAGTTGCAGCTAGCAAGGGATGTGAAGGATAACAAGAAGGGTTTCTACAGGTATGTTAGCAACAAGAAGAAGGTCAGGGAAAGTGTGGGACCCTTACTGAATGGGGGAGACAACCCTAGTGACAGATAATGTGGAAAAAGCTGAAGTACCCAATGCTTTTTTTGCCTTGGTCTTCACAGACAAGGTCAGCTCCCAGACTGCTGCAGTGGGAAACACAGTATGGCGAGGAGGTGAGCAGCCCTCAGTGGTGAAAGATCAGGTTAAGGACTGTTTAGAAAAGCTGGACATGCACAAGTCCATAGGTCCAGATCTAATGCATCCAAGGGTGCTGAGGGAGTTGGCTGATGTGATTGCAGAGCCATTGGCCATTATCTTTGAAAATTCATGGCGATCGAGATAGGTCCTGGACGACTGGAAAAAGGCAAATATAGTGCCCATATTTAAAAAAGGGAAGAAAGAGAACTTGGAGAACTACAGACTGGTCAGCCTCACTTCAGTCCCCGGAAAAATCATGGAGTAGATCCTCAAGGAATCCATTTTGAAGCACTTGGAGGAGTTCAGAAGGTGATCGGGAACAGTCAACATGGATTCACCAAGGGCAAGTCATGCCTGACCAACCTGATTGCCTTCTATGATGAGATAACTGGCTCTGTGGATATGGGGAAAGCAGTGAATGTGATATATCTTGACTTTAGCAAAGCTTTTGATACGGTCTCCCACAGTATTCTTGCCAGCAAGTTAAAGAAGTATGGATTGGATGAATGGACTATAAGGTGAATAGAAAGCTGGCTAGATCGTTGGGCTCAAAGGGTAGTGATCGATGGTTCGATGTCTAGTTGGCAGCCGGTATCAAGTGGAGTGCCCCAGGGGTCGGTCCTGGGGACAGTTTTGTTCAACATCCTTATTAATAATCTGGATGATGGGATGGATTACACCCTCACCAAGTTCGCAGATGACACTAACCTGGGGGGAGAGGTAAATACGCTGGAGGGTAGGGATAGGGTCCAGAGTGACCTAGACAAATTGGAGGATTGGGCCAAAAGAAATCTGATGAGGTTCAACAAGGACAAGTGCAGAGTCCTACACTTAGGAAGGAAAAATCCCATGCACCGCTACAGGCTGGGGACCGACTGGCTAAGCAGCAGTTCTGCAGAAAAGGACCTGGGGATTACAGTGGATAAGAAGCTGGATATGAGTGTGCCCTTGTTGCCAAGAAGGCCAACTGCATATTGGGCTGTATTAGTAGGAGCATTACCAGCAGATCAAGGGAAGTGATTATTCCCCTCTATTCGGCACTGGTGAGGCCACACCTGGAGTATTGTGTCCAGTTTTGGTCCCCCCCTTACAGAAGGGATGTGGACAAATTGGAGAGAGTCCAGCAGAGGGCAACGAAAATTATTAGGGTGCTGGGGCACATGACTTACTAGGAGAGGCTGAGGAAGTTGGGCTTATTTAGTCTGCAGAAGAGAAGAGTGAGGGGGGGATTTGATAGCAGCCTTCAACTACCTGAAGGGGGGTTCCAAAGAGGATGGAGCTAGGCTGTTCTCAGTGGTTGCAGATGACAGAACAAGAAGCAATGGTCTCAAGTTGCAGTGTGGGAGGTCTAGGTTGGATATTAGGAAACACTATTTCACTAAGAGGGTGGTGAAGCACTGGAATGGGTTACCTAGGGAGGTGGTGGAATCTCCATCCTTAGAGGTTTTTAAGGCCTGGTTTGACAAAGCCCTGGCTGGGATGATTTAGTTGGTGTTGGTCCTGCTTTGAGCAGGGGATTGGACTAGATGACCTCCAGAGGTCTCTTCCAACCCTAATATTCTATGATTCTATGACTTTGTAGGGTGATGGTTAGAGCACCCACATGGGAGATCCCCAAGTCCAGTAACCCCTCCTCCATTCACTCCATTATTTATCCACAAAGGAACAGCTTCAGCTTCAGATTGAGGGAGCCCCACATCAGAATATCCTGTAGTTCAGTGGTTAGAGAACCCTCCTGAGAAATAGGAGATTCCCCTGCTCAAGTCTGTTCTCACCCTCTGGCAGAGAGGGGGGAATTGAACCTGCATTTCCCACATCCCAGGTGAGTGTTCTAACCACTCGACTAAAAGTTATAAGGTGGGCACCACTCCTTCCTCTTCCAACTGGATTTTGAAGGGCTCCCAGTCTGGAAGGGAAGGCACCTACTGGATCAAGCCCCATATGCAATTTAGGCAGCCCAATGCCTATCGTCCCCCAGTTCATTAATCACTCTGGGCTTAGGTGGGAGGGAGCCATTTGGACTCCCAGAGTGGGGCAGTGGTGGGCATGTCCCAGAGTCTAAAACTTAGGTGCCTAGGGAACTTTTACAGTGGAAAGTTAAGTGCCGAGTGAGTTTAGGTACCTACAGGGTTAGGCAGCAGCCAAGCAGAAGTGCTGCCACACATGAGGATTTAGGGGCCTAACTCTGGAGTTTAGGTGCCTAAAGTGCTTCATGGATATCTTTACTTTTACTCCTTCCAACTTAGATGTAGATCATTCAAACTTGAATTCATAACAGTATCAAACACAAATATTTTAGTTAAAAAGTAATGGCTTACAGAACTGTTAAAAAATAATGTCCCTGAGAGAGTGTAATAAAAGCATAGGATGAGAGAAAATAAAGAGGATTCCGTACCTTTAATGTCTCATACGTCTTGACTCTCGTTGTCTTTATGAGGAAAGCCTCCATCTCCGATTTTTAATAAAATCTCAGAACAGTGAAGTCTTCCATTTACCCTCCAGAAATTCATTTCTACTCTATCAGAAGAATAACTGAACTCAGCTGCCATTCTGAAAGTTGTTTATTTGTAGAACCCCCACTGAGAGTCAGTAAAAAGTCTTGCTCATGGAGACTTTGCAGGATTGGGTGCTTAGTTTATAATTTTGATACCAACACAGTGCATTGCAATTACAGTTTATCCTCTGGGTTCTAAACGACACAGGACCTGAGTCTCATTTATACTGCCAGAGTGGTGTAAAGGGGCCTTCATGTAAATGAGAATCAGGTCCTGATGATCTCCCAAAAAAAGACTGTATTGGATTAACACCTCAGGAATTTAGTATATTGACTTATTTTTAATTTTTGAATACTTATATATTGATTTTGTTCGGTAAACTTTGTTTTGAAACCAGCTTTTATTAATTTTAGATGTAAATGGAGACACTGCATTTTTGTTTTATTACAAACTTCTAATTTCAGATTTTATTTACAGTAGAATATGATTATTAGAAGTTTCATTTTTCATTATGTTACTCTGCTTATTTTTTAAACCTGATGTGAATTGAAATTCTTCAGCAGTTACAGTGAGTATACCTACATGGTTAAATATATAATGTTTCTAGGGCTTAGAAAAACAACTGAAGTTGAACAGTAGCATCTTTAGTCGTCAATTGGCAGCTGAGAATAGAAAGACTGTAGCAGCTCGGACAATCACAAAGAACTTGCAAATGGAAATTAAGTCTCTTCAACAAAAAATTAAGGTACCCAAGGTTTAAAAGAGGTTTATTTTTTTATAAAAGTGCCACATGTCTTACATTATATGTTCCTGTTACCTTCATTATAGTCTTAAATAAGATAACTAAGGAATATGTAATGCAAAATGTATACACTGCAAAAATATCAAAAAGTAAAATAAACGAAATTATCATTGCATCTATTTGTCAGAATCTGAAGTAGATCAATAACTAGTAGAAATGCAATTAACAATATTGGCCTGTTACTATTTGATGAATCTGGATCAGCATGTTATGCTACAACTTTATCAGGGTCCCACAGGGGTTGGTCCTGGGTCTAGTCCTATTCAATATTTTCATTAATGACTTGGATAACGGAGTGGAAATATGCTTATAAAATTTACTGATGACACTGTGACGGGTTGCCCCGCTTAGGATGCCACCTGATGTGCTGAGATACCACTGAGCCCACCTGTTCTGCCAGCCTCGGTACCCTTTTTATCTGTCTTCCTGAGCCAGGCTATTAAGCCTCCTCCAGCACACACACAGGCAGTGCCACACCCAACTGCAGAACAACACAGACACTGAGATCAGCTCTGGGAAGACTCATCTTAAGGGACTTGCTCCAGCACTCAGGTGGCCACCTCTCTTGGAGTGCAGACCCAAAGGTATATTATGAAATCCGCCTCCTCCCTCAATGTGGAGGAAAGTATGCACAACCTCTTAATCCTCCCACCCCAATTATGAATTGCACAAACAGGGTTATATTATAAACAAGAAATAAGTTTATTAACTAC